ACTACTATCAAAAATATCTATACTGTATATATTTAAGTTTGTTTGCCTCAACCAGGACCTAAATAATGTCTGTAGACTCCAGTTAGTTTTTTTTGTTTGTTTTTTAAGTCTTTTAATGTATGATTTTCTGCTTCTATTTCTTTTTTTTTTCCCCTTTGTCATAATTTCATGAGGTCTTTTATCTGCTATTGTTTCTCAGTTTGGATTTTGCTGATAAAGCCAATGCTTTAGAACAAATCACAAAGACCTTCTGGGAGAGGAAGGGGGACTGAAGAAAGTAGAAATACAAAGAAAACCACAGGATTAAACCTGGAAACTGTCAGAATCTCTGCCTTATGCTGGTAATGTCTTCAGGTACCTTCTGCCCTTCTCTGTTTTGGTGAAGGACCACCAGTCCTCCTCCTTTTTCCCCATTTATGGAGCACCACTTCTGCAGTTTTTTAGTTCGTAGGCCACTTGCTTGGGGCAGAAGTTACCTTGGGCTCATGCAGCTTCTACTTTCTCCAGCAATAAACCTCACAATTGAAAAGAATGACTGTGGTTTTTGGTGGGTGTGAATGTATTGGTATGATTTATGTTTAAGAGTATGAATAGATCAATTCAAGTCAGAAGTGAAAGCAATGATACTGTCTTGTTATCAAAGTAGTTACTACAAGAAATTATCTCAGTGCCTGGCACATAGTAAGGTACACAGTAATTCATGTCTACACTACCTGGGAGACACTGCAGTTTACCATCCTCCTTAAACTACAGGTGGAAATCATTGACAACTAGGACTGAATCTGTCAGTTAGAATGGTAAAGACCTAGTTGTTATTGGCCAACTTTTCCTACAAGTAGGAAACTAAGGAGTTTTCTTGAACTTTAGCATTTCTAGTTTCCCTAAGAGCTGTTGTTGGACCTGAAAACTTAAGTTGATTTTATATGGTCCTTCCTATTCTCTTTTTTTTTTCATGTTAAAATCATTGTTATTTTTTTTTTTATTTCAGCATATTATGGGGGTACAGATGTTTAGGTTACATAGATGTTGCCCTTGCCCCCCCCAAGTCACAGCTTCAAGCCTGTACATCCCCCAGATGGTGCGCATTGCACTCATTATGTATGCATATACCAATCCCCTCCTCCTCCCTCCCACCTGCCCGACACCCAATAAATGTTACTCTTATATGTGCACTTAGGTGTTAATCAGTGGAATCAATTTGCTGGTCAGTACATGTGGTACTTATTTTTACATTCTTGGGATACTTCACTTAGTAGAATGGGTTCCAGCTCTATCCAGGAGAATACAAGAGGTGCTATATCCCCATTGTTTCTTAAAGCTGAATAGTACTCCATGATATACATATACCACATTTTATTAATCCACTCATGTATTGAAGGACACTTGGGTTGTTTCCACATCTTTGCAATTGTGAATTGTGCTTGCTATTCTCTTGATTAAATAGATGTAACTGATGGCATCTTATGTACCATAGATGTTTTTAGCAACTTCCTTTCTACTTTAGAAATAAAATCAGGGTGATTTTCTGTGAACTCACAAAGCTTATATTCATTTGCTGATTTGTTTATTTAAGAAGCATTTATTTACTTGAGCTCCTACTCTATGCCAATTTTTGTACCAGGTGCTGGGAATTTAGAGTTAAAAGATACAATTCTAGCTTTTAAACATTCACAAACAAGTGAGAAGAGGAATGAGTGAATCTGCAATGATACTTTGCCCTATGATTTTCTGGAGGTGATCACAGAGCGCTGTGGAGGCAGAGAATGCCCAGTACTTAACCCAGGTGAACAGTCAGGGTGGGCTTTCTGGGCAGGCTCTCCGAGCTGTGTTTAGAGGGTAAGTTAGGAATTGCCACATTAAAGGGAGAGGTGGGCATATTCAACTGGAGAGGTGGTAAGTACCTAGGCATGTGGGAACCAGGACATGTTTTTGTTAATTGCAAATAGTTAAGATTTAAGGTATAGATAAGACAAAACAGGAAAGCAGGAAGTAGATGCTGTAGCACCATTATAACTTCTTGAGGATTTTGAACTTTCGTCATAAAGGCAAAGGATTTCAGTAAGAAGAGTTCACTGACCAGATTCATGTTATTGTGGGATAATCCTACTTGTTAGAAATGAATAATTTTAATTTCAAAGAGTAAATGAATGTTGCTATTTAATTCACTGGTAAATGCCAGTGCACATAATCATTAAGCTTCATAAGTACTTAGTTACTGAATATACTGAAAATACTGTATAAACGACTTAATCTTTATAAAGCACTTAGTACAATGCTGGATATAAGTAAGCACCGTATAAGTCTTTGTTAAATAACATTAACTCCCTCAGGCTGCTTGAATACTATTTAGAAATTTTATGACATTACTTGAATGCAAAATGGTACCTTAATTACCTGAGGTTAACACATTCCCAGAAGTAGGTTACAAATTACTTGAATTTATATAACTAAGTGGGATCAAATAATCCTAGGATCAGAAGAGACCTTATAGGTCATCTAACCTAATTCAGGAATCACTCTTCACTTGGTAAGATCAAGCCATTGATTATGATGGATATGCTAATTATCCTGATCTGATAACTACACATTATATGTATTGAAACATCACTGTGTACCCCATAAATATGTATAATTATTATATGTCAAACAATTTTTAAATTTTAAAAAGAGTAAGGAAATCAGCAATGTATTACATAATGTTTCAGAAATCTCACAAGAACTATAATGGTATAAAACACTTTAATTTTACTGTTAACGTGTCTTTCTTTCGGTTTTTGACCCTAAATGAGACCAGAGGAAAACTTAAATTTTGGAAGAAATTTTCATTTTAGTTTTGTTTAAATGCTGACAATTTGATTGGTGTGAAATAGTAATTCTGTTGATATGAATACATATTGTAAAAGATTTCTTTACTATGTGGTCAGTAACTTGAAAGCATACTTTATTTTTATCCCAAGTGGGATGATCGCCTATACTGAAAGCTTTGTATTATACTACAAAGTCCTAGAAATGGTAGTCAGAGTAATCATATTTGATTATGAGTAACCTTGCTATCCTCGAGGTTGTTTACCTAGTCTGAAGTAATTTCAGTCTTGGAAAACAGCACACAGGACTAGAGTCTTCAAAATATTCAGAGTCTTCCATTCTACTCTCTTGAAATTATTTGTGCTG